AAAATTTAACATGTAAATCTATGTATATAAAATTAGCCATACAAAATTGTCACAATTTTAAAAATAAAACACAACTTAAATATATTTTTAATTTTATAAACGAGCACTTTTTAATTCTAACTTTTATAAAAAGTTGCAATTTATAAAAGTGATTATTATTCTTGTGTTTTTTACGCCACTAATTAAAATATCCATATTTAATTATTAATCAAGTTCAAAAAAAAAAGGAATGAAATCAAATAATATTATTAATGGGGAACAATATACTATGTAACCTTTTTTTTATAAACAAAAATATAAAGTGAAATTATGATAATCAACAAAGAATCAAAATCTTTTATTTTTAATAATTTAAGACTAAAGATGTGATTAGACTTATTACTTTGACCACAAGTTTCAATATAAACTCATTTCTCTCATTGAAATTATTGAAATGGTTTTATATATTTTAAACCCATCTAGTATAAGAGTATAAAAATTTCTAACTTACACATTTAGAGTTAGATTAGTCCACGCGTCATAATTATTTTAATTTGTTTTCAACCATTTAAAACATATTTCAATTGCATAAAAATAAATTTTAACAAGTCTGAGATAAAGTCATTTCTTTTCACGGATGAAATATTTGCTTTGATTGAGACACTTTTGACTTCACCTTAAAACATGTTATCTTAGTTATGATGAAACATTTTTTTTACTATCTTTAGTCAAAACATCTTGTGGTTGGTCTTGATAAGGGCTTCTTTTCAACCTTTATGAAATTTATCTTTATTACTATATCTTAAGTTTAATCTTGAAAAATCTGTCACGGTTATATGATATTTATAAAACTAAACACAAGTCTAAATACAATCTTGTAAAAACACTTGTGATTTTGATAATAATAAATATTACCGTAATTTTATAAGATTAAATGATGATTAAACGTAGATGGGGTTTAAAGATAAATTAGATCATTAAAGAGTTTAGAGAAAATCTTAAAAGAAGGGTTAAATAAGTGTTTAAAAAACGAAAACATGTCTAAAGAAGCCATAGGCACGAGATTTTGAAGCCTATAGACGAAATTTAAAGAAGTGTTTGACGATACTGTGTCAAGACCAAATGCATTACTAAAGAAGCATTAGACATGTACACAAAAATCTGATGCATATTTAAAGAAAGGTTAGACATAATATAAGAAGACAAAACACATATTCAATAACAACAAAAACCTTACACATAAAAACCAATATGCACTTGTAAATGCAAGAACATCTAATTTTTGAAGGAAATTAGATCATCCTTTCTAAAGATGATTGTAAAAAAAATGTATCAATCATTTGAGTTATGTTTATTAGGAAGCACACAAAAAAATAAATAATAAATGATATTCTTTATCATATTTGGTGAGTGACTAGTGAATGTTATTACCATACATGTTTAAATAATAATTTGCATACAAAATAAAGAAATATTATGATGAACCAAATGTAATTTAATAAGATATATTGTTATGGGAAATTATAATAAAATAAAATAAAATAAAAACTAACTTAATGAACATTAATTTATAAAAGGAAATAAGATTCTATTTCTCACTATAAAGTTCTTTCACATTTACTCATGAAGAATGTGGAGAAAAAAAATGTAAAAAGATATATTGAGAAAGAAAGGTTGAAGAGTAAAGAGATTGAAGTACATATTCTTAAAAGATTTCTTATGAATCAAAGATAATATCTTATTAATTATGATTACACTCTGAGAATTATAAATCTTAAGATTTTAGAGTGATTTTTTTAACAAAAAATATTAATATTACAAACGAATTTTTATTGACGGATAAATATTCGTCGATATATTTTAATTTCCGACGGAATTACCAACGATTTTTTTATCTTTTTCATCGACGGTCAAAAGTCTTCGGTAAGGTCGTTGGTAAGTGACATACACATTACCGACGAATTTATCAAAGACTTTTGATCGTCGATAAGTGACATGCACACTACCGACGGATTTACTGAAGGCTTTTGGCCGTCGGTAAAAAGAGCGGGAATTTTCCCGCCCATTATTTCGCTTGACGACATTACCGATAGATTTACCGAAGGCTTCTGACCGTCGATAAAAAAACGGAAATTTTCCGACCCCAGTTTCGCATCTAGTGCCAATATATGTGGCAAACACTCATTTCTCCTTCTCATTTCTCTCCATCTTAGTGTAATACTTCTTCCTATCGCTGCTCTCCACCGCCGCTGCTCTCTACCACTGCTGCTCTCCACCACCGCTGCTCTCCACCACCGCTGCTCTCCACCATCGCTGCTCTCCACCACCGCTGCTCTGTTGCAATCCACCATTGTCCACTTTTCAGCCTTTCCGACAAGCTCAACTTTTCCGACGAGCTCAACTTTTCTGGCAATCCATTGCAAAGTTGATTTTTGCGATTAGGAACATTTCTCTTACAAATCTGAGAATTGTAGAGAAACTCTCCATGATTCCCTATGATTTTAACTATTGAAAATAAATTGGTTGTTTGATTTTTTGGAAATTAGTTTGTTACTGGCGTGATGCTTTTTTGGTGGCGGAGTTCATGAAAACGAAAAAAAAAATGACACAGAGGGAGGAAGGAAGAAGAAGAAGATGATGAACCAGATCACGATAATTACCAATGGATTTACCGAAGGCCAGAAACCTTCGGTAATTACCGACGGTTTTTCGGCCCCAGTTTCGCATCCAGTGCCAATATATGTGGCAAACACTCATTTCTCCTTCTCATTTCTCTCCATCTCAGTGTAATACTTCTTCCTATCGCTGCTCTCCACTGCCGCTGCTCTCTACCACCGCTGCTCTCCACCACCGCTGCTTTGTTGGAATCCACCACTGTCCATTTTTCAGCCTTTCTGACAAGCTCAACTTTTCCAGCGGTCCATTGCAAAGTTGATTTTTGCGATTAGGAACATTTCTCTTACAAATCTGAGAATTGCAGAGAAACTCTCCATGATTCCCTATGATTTTAACTATTGAAAATAAATTGATTGTTTGATTCTTTGGAAATTAGTTTGTTACTGGTGTGATGCTTTTTTGGTGGCGGAGTTCATGAAAACGAAAAAAAAATGACACAGAGGGAGGAAGGAAGAAGAAGAAAAAGATGAAGCAGATCGCGGTAATTACCGACGGATTTACCGAAGGCCAGAAACCTTCGGTAATTACCGACGCCTTTACCGAAGACCAAAAGTCTTCGATAATTGTCGACGGCTAAAATATCCGTCGGTAAAAATTACCGACAACGTTTTTACCGACGATATTTTAATCGTCGGTAAGCTGTCGGTAAACGACAATTACCGACAGATTTAATACATTACCGATGAATTAGAACCGTCGGTAATATCAATTATTCTTGTAGTGGGATTAAGAATGTAAGAAAATTACAAATTAATTTACACATACAATGCCACCCCTCTGTTATTAGTGAGTCCATGCATAATAATAAGATGATGAAATATACAAGATTGAGACTTATTTGCAATGTATTATCTAAGTTTATAAGTGTTTATTGTAAAAGTTTATGTGCTAGATGATTTAGAGTAGGAGTTTTATTTATATATTCTTCACTAGTCCGATGAGAATTTAATTCATATATAATCTCTTTGAGAGTTTTTCTTGTAAACATCAAACAAACTTTTGTTGTATTGTTATGAATGTTATTGTGTACATATGACTCTTTGCTGATTTTGCCAAACATTTATAAAAATATTTGTGAAGCATTTCAAAATTATTATACGACCTTCAATCAACATGTAATAGACATTAGTTACATTGTGAAAAGTTTCCAAAATATTTTTAGACCTATACTCCCCTTCATAAAGTTAGTTATCCATTTATTTAAAATATCATTGAGTCAAACTTACTAAAGACATCTTCAACTTGATTTTGTCATTAGTTAAGATGTATTTTCACCAACTTTGGTCAGAACATTTTTTTGATGAATCTTAATCACAATATTTTCTCAAGCTAGCCTCGACCAAGATGTTTTTTTGGGACCTTAAGTGGAAAAGTATTTACTGTTGGACTTCATTTTTATATGATATTATTTTTAACTTGGTATAAACTATTGTATTTTCCAAATCACCTTTGTATGACCATTGACCAACTTTAATCATAAATATGTTATGACTAACTTACATTCAGTGATTTTCAATCTAAGTTTAGTTGACACATCTTGGTTTCCGCATCATCCAAATCTTCATCCAACCAAGCTAGAGACACAATTCAAATTGGACAAACAAATTTGATTCAAATTCAATCAAAACATATTTGATTTTGATCTTAATTAAGACATTTTGTATTGGTCTTTTGATTAAGGTCATCTATTAGTTAACTTTAGGACGACATCATTTGGTCTGTTAAGCCAAATTACATTTCAATATTTATTTCTTTTGGTGTTTTTTTTTTTTCAATTTTATATTTTATATAATCTTTGACTAAAGCAAACTAGCCAATTTTGTTAGCCAATATGCTAGCAAAATTTATTGGCTATTGGCTCTGACGTACGTAATTCCATCGTTCTACTTATCACATCACAATTCACAATAACATACATTACAAAGTTCACACCGAAATTCTGAATATAATGCAGAAAAACTTACGATAAAACAAGTAAAATTTTTCCTAAAACTTTACTAGATAAACTAGGTACTAAAAAAACTTCTTTATATAGCATCGGGTTCAGTTTTTTCCCGCGGTGGCATTCGAGTTCAAAATTTCGGTTTTCGCGGAAACAAAGAGATCCTCAGCTCCACCTTTCAACGATCATTTTCTCTTCATTACGTTCCGAAACAGAAATTCAGATCTCGATTCGCCATTATAGGTATCATTCTTCTTCTCTGTAATTGAAAACTCTATAAATGAGACCGCGTTTGCTTTTAGAATTTCATTTCATGATAATGCTGATTTTTTTGAACTATACTTTTTCAATCGAAATTCCGAACGCGATTGTTTGAACGTTGCGGTTCGGCTTTGTTTCGTGTGAGGTTGTAGATCGCATCCTGCACGATGTTGCAATGGATGGGAGGATCCAGGCGGAAAGTCGCTACTGTGAGTTGGAGTTTTGCTGTAGTTTAAATGAGCTAGTTGCATATTGCAATATAATTTCAATCGAATCGAAATATTATGTGTAATTAGGAAGAAACAAAATCTGTTTATTGTTTGAAGGATTAACAGTATCCTATAGGACCACTGAATTTTTGCATTTGTAGATGTTTTGGAAATCACAAGGTTTTCTGAATGAAAAGTGAAAGTAAAAAAATACTAGTCATTGCCTCTGGCACAAATTAAAAATTTGATTTTCATGTTATGCTAGCTGACGTAGTTGGCGTGACGAGCCATTCAAAATTGCAAATTGTTTAAAAAATAAATTGAATGATGTTAATTTTTCTTCTGATGTCCAAACATTATATCTAATTGATGCATGATGATCATTGGCGCCGGGATGGGAGATTTTCAGTCAAGGAAGTCTACACAAAAGAGGTAAAAGTTTGATGTTATGTTAGTTACAAACCTATATGGAGTTTGGTTGGTTGAGGCTGGGAAGAGTGGTTCTGCTAAAATTGGAAGGTTAGACTGTAGAATTGTAATGAACTCCTTATTTCCACCAGACAGAAGCAATACTTTGAACAAAGAAAGCGTAAGCAACAAAATTTGCATATGATGGGATCAGATAATTGTTATGATAGTCCAGGAATAAGTGGACAAAGCCTCAAGGAACATCGGTCTCTGGACATTCTCAATTTGCTTAACTTGTCAACAAAAGCTCAGCAGTGTAGTCCATTTTGTCCAGAGGGTAAGCATTGAATATTCTTTCTGCATAACAGATTTGTTGCTGCTAATTCCTGACTTTTGGTGAGGTAGTCATTAGGCTAAAATATTTCATGTTCTGAAAAACTTCCCGAATTACAACCACGTTGGCAGGGAAAAGGACAGCCAGCTAATGCAGCTTCTTTTTTGTTTGCTTTGTCCTGATGACTCTGTGCTTCTTTTCTTGCTTATGTCTTGTTTAGTAAAATTACCAATTTCCCCCCATATTAACTGTACAACAACGAAAGAGAGGGACGATGGAGACATCGATATTTCTACCCTGCCAGTCAATGTCTCAACAGATCAGCCAACAATGTTTACCAATATGAATACTACAGTAAATTCTTTCAGATTCGAAGAGGCAAGTACGTGATCTAGTACATTAGCCAACGCAAAAACTATCAAGTCTGTTTGGTTCAATTTAAATGCAATTTGGAACTAAGATGTGAAATATATAATGAATGTATATGCAGGGGCACCTTTGTGCCGCCAGACTGAAACATCACGGAAGTGAGTGATACTTTTACATTGTTATTGCCTTCTAGTATATTATTATATTGGTTAGTCTTAGAGAAATTGAAAACCACGGGGTTCTTATGAGGTTGGAGAAGGATTGCACTACCTACTTGTAGGTATTTTTTCGTCTTAACTTATTGCTCCACATAGTAATACATCCATGGCTAGCAAACATAAAAAAGGTGTCTGCAACGAAGCTAGAAGGAAATGTGAAAATATTACATTCGCTGTTTTTTTCTGAGTTCATTGTCTTTTTCTTTCCTTTTATGGGTATGCAGGAGTTGGGTTGCTGTGATCAAAAGCTTCTAATCGTTTTATTAATCGAGTTGGTTCAGTCTGGCTTCAAAATTTTCAGAACACTAGATGAAACTAGTCAAAATAAATTTAAAGGCAAACCAAATGACAGATTTTGAAACTGAACCGAAATTTTTATTCATTTGCTTTCCTGTGGTTGTTTTACGGTTTCCTTCTATACTTTTCTGACTTATCTTTAATTTTCCTTCTCTTTTTGGGAGTTGGACGAATATAGAAAAAAAAATTATAAGGGGATTCTTTCTAAATGTATTGGCTTGGTATTCTTAGGCTAACCTGCAACAGCTTTCGAAAAATTGATACTTTTTTTTTAACTTGACAGGAGTTCTTCTGATCACCGCAATACTGCCTTTAATGGACCCCCCAATCAATGGAAGACAGTATCCGATCAATGTAAGTAGCATATTATAGATATTCAATTATGTTGTATTTCTTGCTTTAGTAAATTTTAGATTATATCTTAGCATATTTTGCTTTCGAGGCCCCAATGGAATTTATTGAACATTTATCTTTACATTCAAATTCAGCCTTCCTCCTCTCACCTATTGGTTTGTCCTTGTTCTCAGACTCGGAATTTTCTGTTATTGATTTGGTGTGTGATGATGAACCTAATGCCACTGCAGAAAAGTGTCCGACCTGCGAAGATCATGTTTCTTTTTCACTTGAAGGTATATATTGTTTTTCATTCATCTTGGTTCGCCTCCAGTTTCATATTTCTTTATTCGTAGGATCACTATGACTATTGTTATATACTCGTCCACTAACACGTAAGGATATATCCTTTTAGTTGATTTAAAATATGTTCAGATAAAGTGAAACTTTACATATAGCAATTTTATGAATTGTTTTTTACTCTGACATTTTCTTCCCATATATATATATATATATGTTAATTGAATCCTTCTAGGCCTGGGTAAAGTTGGGACAGAAACGCCAGTTCATTCTCCAGAGCAACGTGCTAGGTGATTAAATTGATGCTTTTTACATAATTCTATTTTTTTTTTGTTTCTTCTCTCTGTAAATTGGTGCAACTTTGCCAATTGAATGACTTTGTGGCTAAATATCTTCATTTAATTACAATGTTGAAAATTTCTTCAGTTCACATTATCACCATATCATCTCACGCATCTATGAAAATTTTAGTTAAGCATATGTTTAACATTTTTCATTTTATACATGACCTGTTACTATTTACTATCCATCAAGGCATGTTAAATTGTTTACGAATAATGATGCCCCTTTTTTATTGTTTAGTAAGTTTTTTCTGTAACAAATACTACAAAGGTAAATTTTATTGCTACCAGTGGCCTGTTTGTAACAAAAAGCAATGGTCTCATTGCTGTCTGAGAGAAGGATGGTGTTTGCTATCTGATAGCCGCCCTTTTGATTTTACTTGTATCCTATTTTTCAGTGTTTAAAAATTCCTAAAAAGAAGCCTTATTTTCATAAAACAATAGGTGTTAACTATAGTTGGTGTTCTTCTTTTAAATTCCATATCTTATGCCACTTGTAAATGTTCGGGGCTATTGTCCCTTCAGTTTCATGAAAGGTAGGCTTAATGATAGTTTTTTGTTTTAAAATGAACAACATAACCTCACTTGGTCTTTTAAAAAATCGATAGTAGCATTCAAGAATTTCGCTGGCTGTCAAAGATTGATTTTTTGTGTACGTGTTTTGGAATTTTTTATTTGCAGAATCCCATATAGTTATTCTCCATTGCAGAAGGATGGAAGTAAATCAAAATTGAAGAAAGTTAACCATGAGCTGGATGACATTGAACTTGAAGTGGTGAAGCAAAAAATCATCTTTACGCACACCACACACTTGCATAATCCTATCTGCATCTTCTATAGCTATATGTTCCTTGTCAATCATTAATGATACCTGAACTGATATACATCTTCTACTTTTTGTTTTATCATGAAAAATCAACGAGTTCTTGTTTTATTAAAGTGCTTTCATAATTATATCTTATTTTATTTTATTCCAATTCCATGGAATAAAAATTTAGTCTGCCATTGATGACCATTAATTGGCAGGGTACATTGAGAAAATTGTATAACATTGTGTTCGTAAAGTTATTGAACGCTGATTAGTCGAGCCATAAATTAGTCCACAATCTTCAGTGGTAATATGATATTTATGCACAATATTGAGATTGCTGCTTTGGAAAAGTCAGATTAGTGTGTCTGTATATATTGGGTTCTTGAAGAGAAACTTCAGAGAGTTCGGTAATAACCATGACCCAATAAGAGTTAGCTTAATGAATCATCACTTAGTTGTTGTATTTTAATTAGAAACAGTCATGAGTAAGGCGACGGATCTATCGGTTAAGCAGAGATGACTTAATGATTACTGGGAACGATCATATGGTTAAAGATATTAGGGAAAATTACACACTCTCTACCGCTTCACCCTTTTTCAAATTATATTCTCATTTTTTTCTATCTCTTAATCACCTCAATAAAAGCTGCCTATAGCCCTTGGATACAAGACAGCAACCTTACCATGGCCCATGCCACTTATTTTACATAGTATCCCTTAAAATTTTTGAGGGGTTTGTTAACTTTTTACTGCTGTTAATGTTAATCTTTTATTCTATTTTTCCCCGTTTTAGTCTTTTGATTTGATCACAGCTGGACTTGAACCTATAATACTGTTCCCCTGATTGATAGACTTCCAATAATTTTCATTATATTCCGCCTAATTAAATTCAAAATGAGCTATGTTGGGTAATTATGCTATTATACATTGTGACACTAATAGGATACAATGGTGCAAGATATCAAGGTCTCGCCTATCAGTTCTTCGGACTTCCCATTTAACAAATTAAGGCGAAGCTCAGCAACTGTTGGAAACGGCAATCATTTTTATGACATTGATAACAGAAATGGCTCTGCCGATAGGGAAAAATTCTTCTACAAGACTGAAAATAGTGATGGAGACTTGTGGAATGGTAATCTATAACTATTTTTTTCTTTCTTATTTGTTATATCTAATTACTTTTCTTTCAATACTTTTGTTCTCTAACACTTTGCTAACATGCATTTGAAATAACTTCAACCGATTTCTTGTATACATGGTAACTATTTGTTATTCATAAAGATCTATGACATGCAGCAGTAACAGATGAAAAAAAACATAAAACTGAAGAACTGTAAACTAAGAAAAGGAATGAAAAAAAAAACGTGAAATGCATGTAACTTTTAAACTTCAGAAATGACCACATTATTTGAATCAGATAATTTATATTTAAGCACTGGAGCTATTGACCATATCATCATTTGCTTAATGGATTCCGTGAATCGCAAGTCAATGATTCAATTAAACGTATCTATCTGGACCAACCACAATTGTCTAGATTTTACCATACTTAATGTAGTAAAGATTAGAGCTGATCATTGGTCACATTTTTAGGCTTTGCAGTAAATGACATGACTATCTCTTTTCGGTTATTGAAAAAATGTTTCTCCGCCTTTTATGGAATATAGCATGTTCAGTTTTCCTTGATGAGACCTTTGACAACGAGATGGGATATGATACCTCGTGTAAGAAGACTTTTCAAATGGGTTCTAAATCTCCTGAATTATCGAAAAGTGGAACCTACAAATTGGAGAACTATGCTTTTGAAGACCTACTGCCTAAGAAATGGTATTTTCTATACTAGAGAGGGTAGAGCGCACCTTCACTTGTTTCCCATAATGATATTTTTGACTTAAAGATGGTTGTATGTATGACTATGCAGGTCTTCAGCTGTAGCGATGAAACAGATGGATATGGGCGGTACAATTTGCTTCCTTAAACTACCAAATATAACCTTACTTCAATGTTTTAAAGGTTATTCTTAGAATGGAACACTAATGACACTGACAAGATAATTTAATTTATGCGGCTTTACCTATTTTAATTAATTCGCTACCGTGACCGTAAGTTTCTGTTCTTCTGTTATGCCATGCACCGAAAATTTAGAAATTACCTGGTCATTTTACACTTCATGAACATATGGGAACCTATGTCCTACTCTAGAACGACAATAGATACATTTGTCGGTTAAAATCAATTTGAGTTACAATTATGCATGTGTGATCACAATTATTAACGTTAATTCGTTAAACAACAGTTTCTCAACCCTTTCCTACCAGCATGTTGTAAATGTTAAGCATCTTCTCTGGAGAGAAACTACATCTACTACAGGACTAACTATTTAGGTGATATGTAAATGTTTTTTCAAACACAAAGACCTCATGACCGTTCTTGTGGTTGTGTTGTACTTGAATGTTAATGTTGGGCACAAACTATTTGAGACCTAGCGAAAGAAAGAAATCTAAGTATGATCCAAGATACATATTATAAAAGACTGGAAAATGATGAAATATTTCGAATCATTAAGTGTATCAATTTATTACTCATTTTCTTATTTAAATTCCGCGCTTACCTGTTTTAACTGCTCATCGTCAAAATTTCGTTTGCTAGATGGATAGTCAATGAGATCCACTTATTCATAGATCTGATTTCATGTAATGAGCATCTGGCATGTATGATTATGTTTGATTGGTTTGAGTCCAAAACATATTTGACGCAAGTAACGATTTATAAATCACTCCAATATGGTGTTTTTACTCTTTTATGCTTTTTCTTTATCTTCAGAACCACGGTCTTCATTTTCTAAAGACGAATTAGAGGAAGATTTTGACTTTTATGTTGCTAGCAGGTCAAGGTATGAACATTATTCTTTGAAGCTCTGCAATGAGATGAGCATTTTCTTATGTTTTTCTGCTGTCGTTAATGTTACAGATTAGATGGGAACTTCGATGCTCAAAATTTCATTCCAGAAGATGTAAGGGATAATTCGAGCTTGCTGAGGTAAAACCAAAATACTCTTGTGTTTCATGATCATTTTTTTTTTCTTTTCTGTTCCTTTATATTGTCACCTTGTCTGACTGTATGTGGACCTTGTGTCAGCGAAGAGTCAAGCTCATGCGCTGCGGGTAATATAAGTCTCTCTCTCTCCGTCTCTTTTGACTCCCAAAAGCAAACTCATTGGGGTTATGCATATGATTAGTAGATCTATTTGATTCATAAGGCATAGGTGCTATTCTTAATTGGAATGTCTTCGTTTTGTGTCAGTGAGGGGTGACTCCACCGCGCATTCACCAGCAATAATATTGACAGGAGAGAACAGAAGAAAGCATAGAAATGCTTTTTCAAGCCCTAGAAAGCATAGAAATGCTTTTTGTAGCTCTAGAAATAGGTACAGTACCAAGGACGAAAAGTACAGAAGTATGCCAAACTCATCAAAGCGAGTACCATCTCATTTTTCAAACTCTATTCTCCAGGAAGAGCTGGGGCCACGTAACAGTTGGCACTTTGAGGAAAGAAAGCCTTCATTTGATAAAAGTTCTGTTGCCGCCTCATTCTGTCTAGATTTAGAGACAGATTTTACAGTCTTCGGATCCAAGAATAGAATTGAAGATCCTTTTAACGTCTTTAATACCCTCGAATTAAGTGACAAGGCGAGTCCTTGCTTTGGTGGATTTAATAAAACTGCACCTCGTGCAGATTCAGCTCCTTGCAGTTTTACCTCTCAAAAGTTGGCATGTGACTGCTCAGCCGCATTCCCTAATGTTGATTCCTGGCCAACGAGCCCATGTTTATCTCCAGATTTTCATTTCAAAGGAAAGTCTGAGGATGCTGGAGGTTTTCATCGTGCGACTTCATCTACTGATATGTCAGGGCAGGGAAGTGTTTGCAAAAGCGAGAAACAAGTGAAACTGCAAAAAGACAGACGCAAGAATTTTGATCAAGAAAATGTTTTCATGGGAGATGATGAATTGTCCTCTGAAAAGAAACTAGCAGATGATGCCCCATCTTTCAAGAATCATGAGCAAGAATGTGAAGGAACAGTGGACACAAATCCAAAAGCATCAGCAACTGAGTGTCGTGTAACAGCTGACTCTTCGGGTCATGTGGAGGAGATATCATCATTACTGAAGAGACCTGACAAAGAAGAAAGTCAAGTAGATAAAAGAAAGTATGTCTATTCTTAATTCTACACCTATATCTTTTCTCTTGCCCTGGTGGCAGGGTCAACACTGTCATAATACTTCTTATGAGATATATACTGAGGGGACTGAAATTTTCACCAGGAGCAATTGTGAAGCTGAAACTCTTCTTAGATGTAAAACTTCAAACGAAGGTATGTGATTCATTTTCTTTATCCATCTAATTTCTTTGCTTTTGAAATGAATTCTGTTCACATTTACTTCTGAGGCTAGCATGCATTGAATTTTTAAAAAACTTAATATTTGTCAAATCTAAATTCCAGTTGGATTTGAAATCCAAAAATTAAATGGATTTGAATTTTTTTTTCAATTTAATATAGATTCATATCTATTTATTTTGAATAAAATTGATATTAAAATCGAATCTATCATTTTTTATGAATTTGAGTTATCTGAATTAATTTAATTTTTATATTTTTTACTAAATAATTAAGATATTTTTCAAGATTAAATTGGTAACTTTAAATATAATATAGTGACTAACAATGGTTCAAATTGAGAATAAAAGTATTTAATGTTTGTAATTGAAACTTTTATTCTTTTCCTTTTATGTCCAGTTTAATTATTTTTTCTCATAAAAATTTCTTTTCATTTTGACATGAGATAATATAAGTATTTTTATTTCTACGTGACTCTATTTTTAATATAATATAATGATTATTTTTGTTGAATTTTTATTTAATATTAATATTTTTTAGGTTAATAATATATACATACATATATATGAATAACCATATCCTTTATGCTTTTTAGGTTTAATAACCTAGTTAACTTTATTGATTTGTTTGTAGGTATGTTCATAAATAAAACAACAAAATAAGACTATGAGGTATGTCAGACTTTTAAACATTTAAATAAGTCATATTTAGATTTAAAATAAATTTATAATTTGTAAATAGGCTAATAATATCTTAATTAAAATTGTGCTAATGATGTTTAAGTGGAGACCAAACAAATCAAGTCTCGATTGAGGCCTAATTGATAATTTCTAAATATAGGTTGTGTTGATGATATTTTAGTCAATGTTGAATTGAA